GGTGAAACCAAAAGGATATAGTCAGTACTGGGTCAGGTGCAGGCTTTACACTGCAGTTCATCATGTTGAAGAGTCGGCCAACAAAGCGCATCCTAAAGAAAGGCAAGACGTGGGCATACTGGACAAGAAAGATTCTGCACCTGGCAACACTGGCCAGGGCAAAGATTGGGGGGCACACAGCAACGAGGACTTACACAGCATTATGGATGATAGGGGGATGGAGAACAAGATGGAGCAGCATAGTCCGTTTTGGTACTGCCATCGAGCAAGGTGCTGGCAGCTGGAGGGGCAGGAGAGACAGAAGAGGCTGGACAAGCAGCGGCATCGCACCGAATGCCACAGCACTTAGATCGGAGTGCAGCAGATAAATGCCATCTGCACAGATTGCCGGCATGAACCAATGAGCAGCGAGGACCTTGGGATGCAAACCGATCATCACATAGCCATCGACATGGAGAAGGAGAGGGGACAACATGCAAAAGGTGATGTCGGATCATCGACAATGACCACGACACTGGGAGAGGGTCGCATCAGAGCAAGGATGCCAGAGAAGGCTGGCTGTAAAGGGGGGGGAGTACGAGGGTGGTTGCGAGTCCGACTCCAAGTGGCAATCGAGTGACAGCATCTGATCGCATGTTGCAGACTAGCGGCAGAATCCATACCTTCTTTCGTCCTTTTTCGGTGTCAGACATGAGCACATGGGCTTGGGCAACGCAGGTAAGTCACTAGTGCGCCATTGTTATTGGAACCAGTCTCAAGTTTGACACAAGTCGCTTAATAACAGAGACACTGAGACAGTGTGCAAGATTGTAAACTCCGTTGCGTGGCCTGTGAGGTTTTCTGTTTGTCTGCGCCAGCTTCGGCCTCCAGTCCGTCTGCCAGTTTTCTGTCCGAAGCCTGTCTTTTACTTCATTATGTGCCTGCTTCCTATCTACAGTCTGTCTGCCAGTTCACTGTCTTTCTGTCCGCTCATGTGTTGCTGTTTCTCTGTCCCCTTCGAAGTCCCTGCCCTTGCTCTCGCTTCTGCCTGTTCTGTGTCAGCACTCTGCAAACGAGACTGGCAGACTGTGAGCTTAGGAAGTCCACCGTCTACCTTTATGTCTGTGGAATGCAAGTCCACTGAACCTGCAGTCTACATTTATGTCTGCAGACTGCACTCTACTTTTATGTCTGCAGACTGCCCAGTGCCCCCCAAAATCTCCTGCCAACCCCGAGCAAGATACCCCAAAGCAAGAGGCCAGATTTGGAGACATCTTGATGGATGCAGAAAGGGCCCACCGACTTCTTCTTTTTCTTTTTTTCTTTTTTTTTTGAAAGGGCGATGGTGTTAAGAGTATTATTATCATCGGACTAACCTGCCCAGGTGAATTCAATCATGTGTCTAATCTGACACTGGGTGGCCTTTTCAGCCCAGGGTGGCCTTATTGTCATCAGGAAACTCCCAGTCGGCGACACTGGCCAGGGAACAGCCGGTAGCAGAGGAGAAGCGGTTTAACAGAGACCTAAATTTTCAGGGTTTTTTTAACTTTTTCAGGATCATTATAACAAACGCCCCACACCTTTTAAGCCAGACTTGTACGAGTCCATAGACTGGACACCAAATAAAGTTTAATAAACCAACAGCAAAAAAAAAAAGCAAAAACCTGGAAGGGGCCTAAAACCCCAAGGCAAAAGTGTGTATTCCTGCGGCTGAAAAGTCGGGGTCCCTGTTAAACACTTGTGTGCGCCCAACAAATTTCTGTGATAGTCACCGGACGCCATGAAGGGCCCTTAACATTGAGCGGTTCCAAAATACACATGGGAAAACCACGCCAGCATGTTGATCAGGAGTGAACCAGGACGTGGACCAGAACATGGCCCAGGATGTGGACTGAACTTCGTATGATTTGATGCGCTCAGTCTTACCTGTTTGTCTATCTCCAATAATAAGTATCAAGTTCTCATTGACCACGACCTATTGGAACAAGGCTATCCACCGCTTTTAATCATGTTTGCATTGGTTCATGCACAGATTTACGTGAAATAATTCCCAGAGCTACAAGAACATAAACAGTCACAGCGAAGCCTCATGCCGAGGCACCACAGTGAACATGCCAGAACACTGTGTGTTGGGGCAGCGAACCACCACACCATGGACCGGACTTCACGTCTCTTTCTTTTTTTTTCGTTTTTTTGGGGGAAAACTCTCCTGACCAAACAAAAACCAGTCATGGTGACAGAGATGGCGAAGCAGAAGAATGGGGACCAAACTCCACATGATTTAGTACGCTGTCTTCATACAAGGTCATACTTCTGACAAACAAACAGACATGCACATGTATACACCGTGAGGAATAAAGCCCGTGTAATTGTTTACAGTGGGATCATGAGTGGGATGTTCAAGTCACTCACCTGGTATGCCTGTGGATAGAACACTGCACATGAGGGAGATTCCAAGTGATGCCCAGGGCAGGTGGAGAATCAACACTGCACATGAGTGAGATTCCAAGTGATGCCCAGGGCAGGTGGAGAATCATTCCGATCGCAAACAAACAGAAAGGCACAAGCAGAACAAATCAACAGCCAAAAAGCCCAAGGACAGGAGAGAGAATGAAGGGGGGTGCAGGAAAGACCTCCAAGGAAAGGCGCAAGGGTGGAGTAGGGAAGGGGGGAGGGGAGGGGGAGAGGAGGGAGGTGGAGGGAGAGAGAAACAGGGCGGGAGAAGGGAGGACTCAGAGAGAGAGAGAGAGAGAGAGAGAGAGAGAGAGAGAGAGAGAGAGAGAGAGAGAGAGAGCTGTCTCTTATACACATCTAGAAATGCAGCAGCGTGTCGGCATTGCCTATGAGGGCCAGCCTCCCTGGCCTGGGCTGCCTCACTTCCTATATGGAAGTGGCAGCCTCCTGGATGCTGCGTGTGGCCTGGCTGGAAGCTTCCAGTAGCTTCTGGTTGGGCCTCAGTCCCTGCGCCCAGGCCCGAGACTACAGTTGAGGGCCTGGGCCCTTTACAGTTGGACACGGCCTGAGTCTCCGGACTTGGGCCGTTTGCTGCACTTGTGCAGGGCCCCAAAGTAGGTGCGTCGACAGTACTGCTTTTGCATAGGCCGGTGGCCGATTCACAACGTATCGGACTTGCTCTGTGTGTATGTGCCCAGGCGCAACTGCCAAGGCCTGGGCCAACTGTACGACACAGCTTTGTGAGGCTCACGCGTCCACTCAACCAACTGGCGTGCTGCAAGAGCCTGAACACCCACATATGAAAGTGTCGAATTTTGGCCTCTGATGAATATTCAGGCCCGCCTTCACTTAGGCCGGGCACTTGGCTTGCTGGCGGCCTTAGCCCAGAACATGTGATGTCTGATAGGGCCCCGTGAGGGCTCGTTCCTCGCACCAGTCTGCCTTGAATGCACACACTTGCACAAGAAGGGCAAAAAAGGCTACAATACTCTTGTTCCAGTTTTGCAACATTATTGTTCTCGCGCTTGCACAAGAAGGGCAAAAACAGGCAGCAATACTTTTTTTTTTCCCCCTTTCTTTCCCGATGGACCATGGATCAGATATTACACTGATCAGAACAGATGCTACACTTGACTTTTGCCAAAAAGGCCAAGAAAGGTATGGGCAGCAATACTCTTGTTCCAGTTTTGCGACTGTTTTTGCTCCCACGCTTGCACAACAAGAGCAAAACAAAACAGCCTGCAGGGGTACTTTGGGACATCCATTAAAATTGGAACGATACAGAGATGATTGGCATGGCCCCTGCACAAGGGGGCAGAAAAAAAAACAGCCTGCAGGTCCTGCACCGAAAATGAAGTCCACGTACAACCATCCCGCAACAGTTACTGAGGGAAGTATCAAACCCATCCTCCAAAATCACCTAACGAAGTTTCATACCCAGAACCAAGGCCCGACTTTCCTAGCATGCCGGCATCTAAACACCACTGCTCAGATCACACCCTAGCACAGGGCCGTGCCGGCAACCGGCCGGTCGGACCGGGCCGGTTGGACGCCCGGTGGTCCAACCGGAATTCCAGTTGGGCCCAAAAATGGGTCAATTTTTTTTTATTTTTTTTCTTGAAAACATGGTTCGACTGCGCTCGCCGAGATCTCCCCAAATCTGCAAAGAAATCTTTGAACAGAGAAGTTTCGTTTGGGAGGTTGTTGTTGGGGTGGGGGGGGGGAAGAGGGGACGTATTGGAGGGGTTGGGGGTCGGTGGTTGGGGGGTTTATGGTGAGGGTTTTAGTGGTGGGGTTTCAGCAAGCACGGGCTTCAGCAGACATTGACCACAACGTACCTGACTTTCTGCAAAAGTTAACCTTCTGCCCAAAAACTTTGAAAAAGGGGCTGGGGGTGTTAGTGGCAGGGTAGCGGTACTTCCCACCCAAAAAGTTTGAAAGGGGGGTGGGGGTGATAGTGTTAGGGGTGCTTGTCACTGCTGTCTGGTCCAAGTTGCCCTCGATACTGGTAGGGTCATGGCCCTGAGTGCTGGTCACAATGAGGTAGGATAGTAGGTAACGTGGGGAAGGGTAGGGAAGGTGGCCTATCCTGTCAGGACAACGACCGGCTGCCGCTGCCAGCGATCACCGTGGGTTTAGTCCTTGGCCTCTACAACACCCTGGGTTTAAATTTAAAATAATAATAATAATATTATAATAATAATAATAAGTTAATAATAATAATAAGTTAATAATAATAAAAATTGTTGCACTATAGCCAACTGGGGCAGAACCAGCCCGGTCGACCGGCCGGTAGGACAGGTCCAGTTTCGGATGGGGGAAGGGCCCCCTGTCCTACCGGATTTGCAGCACTGCCCTTGCAAGAATAAGAGCATGCATGAACGGGAGGTCCATGCAGCATCAAGACATGCCCCGTTGNCACACACACACACACACACACACACACACAGCAAATGAGTGGGGGTAAAGAAGACAGTGCCACTCATCACAGTGCTGCTGGCTCCACCGCCGCAATTGCTCACCCTCCTCATTCAACGTAGCTACAGCTAAAACACTACAATCAGTCAAAATCGGGGCAAGCGCTTGAAGAAATGGGTGCTAGGATAGGATAACAAAGTGAGAACCAAGACATGGTAAGCACAAAGCAAAGGGGTGGGAAGATACTTTGTGAATGTGGTATTATGAACGGGTAGGTAGATGGCCAAGGGGTCAAACACATTACAAAAATATGAGAGCCAAAGGTCGAAAATGCAAAGAGAGGGACTTCAGAGAGGGACCCATCACCTGTTGGATGTGAGAGAAAGGAAAGGGAAGTGGGAAGAAGGAAAAGATGTGAAACAGTGAGAATACCTCAGAAATAGATAGACCTCAAGAAGAATGAAAAGATGAGGAAAAAGTTGCAAATAGATAGAACAAAAGCAGGGCGCGATACAGATGATCTTCTCCTACTGGACAGCTGCCTGCCTCATGCCGTTGGATTCGAATTGTGCCAACCCTTCTGACACGGAGGGACTTCGAGGAATTCATCAAAATCCTTCACTTCCACATCACAGCAGACCCACTGCACACATAACCAAAGCACACCGAACGCATAGGGAGTATGGCAGGGACAGTTAGCGCAGGGACTCTATTAAGTTAGCTAGCTCAAGACTAAGGGTGGAAATTAAACCACCCAACCTCCCGACATTGGGAACTCGGGGGGGTGGTAGCACAAGTTCATGAGGGCAACCGGTAGCATAGTGATAGTGTGGGGAACTGCCAGAGTGGCAAAAACAGAAACTGTGCCAAATTGTCGCCGTGGTCAATTTTTTTTTTCCCATTTTTTTTAGAATTTTTCCTGGACAGTTCAGGATGAAGTATATGGTCCCTCCAGTTTCGAGGTGAAAAATCACCGAAGTTCAGGGTAGTTTTGGCGCCTACCGCTGACGCCTACCAGTTGGGCCGACCCGTAGGCGGACCCGTCAACGGTCAGCAGACTGCCTTGCAATTTTTTATTTTTTTTTCTGATTACATGGTCGTGCGCGGCTTGAGGAGAGCAGCCCAAATCCGCAATAAAGTTTTTTGGGGGKGGTGGGGGTTATAGGGGGACGTATAGGGGGGTTCTAGGGGGTTTGCAGGTGGGTTATAGGGGGGTTGTAGGGAGTTAAGAGGGGCGAGGGGGAGGTATGATGGTGTTAGGGGGCGGTATGGGGGTGTTGGGGGGGTGTTGGGGGGTTGTATGGAGGTGTTGATGGGGTTATTTGGGGTTCTGGACCCTTTTTCTTTTTTGCAGGGTGCCGACCGACCCCCGACAGTCGGCTGGTCGGCCCCCGACCAATCCAGGGGTGCCGACCGTCCGCGTGACTACTCTGCCGAAGTTATACTTTTTGTGGAAATCGCTTTCGCCCACACTTGGCAGCCGGGAAAAGAAAAACGCGCCGAATCATTGCAACGACTTATTTCACGGTGAAAAGGAACTTTTTTTATGCTGGTCCCAGGGCGGCTCGGCTGGGGGAAGGTTGCCTGGGGACCCTTCCGGGCGGCCCAGGGAAGGTAGGGTCCCAGGCAGTCCCAGCGCATAATAATATTACAAACATTGAAAATAAAAACAATTCTAAAAAATCCGAAAAAAACAAATGGTGTGTAAAATAATACTAAAATTGCAATGCGAACAACTTTTGGCTGAGGGTCCCCTCGGAATTCCTTATTACTTCGAAGATAAAAATAAATGATGAGACATGAGGTAAGATAAAAAATCCGGAATTTTAACAAAGTTCTAAACCACTCTAGTCGATGTCTATACCCCCCAAACTCCCCTGGGTGACCCATCACCGAGATGGAAGGTAAGGCCAGATTATGACTGCTTAGGCCAAGCACAGTCCTGGCCTGAAGTCATCTTTTTCCTTCTTCTTAGGATCCTTGCCTCTTTCTTGACCTTGTTGATTTTGCCTGGCCTGAGACTGCTCAGGCCAACATTAACTAATAAATTAGTAATAGGCTACCAGAGTGGCCCGGGGTCACTTGTCCGGCCGGGCCAAAATAATTAAAAAAAAAAAAAAAAAAAAAAGTTTTGAATTTTGTTTTTTATTTTAAATTTGGTGAAGAATTTCGATGTGACCCTGAGGCAAAAGTTGTTCAGTTTATTTTTCTGCATAACATAGTTTTTTTTCAGAATTTAGAGGGTTTTTTTTTTTTTTTTTTTTTTTTGCTGGGACCTTACCTGATCCTTGCACGGGCTGGCCACCCGGGACCCGGGCGGCCCGGCTGGTAATTTGATAACTGAAATTTGAGTCCTTGACCCCCACCAATTCGAGACCTCCCATTTTGTCCAATAAAAAAATTTCGGCTCAGTAGGCCTGCCCAACCTGAAAGGCCAGGCCTACTGCCTCACATCAACTCTGATAGAGACGTGCAAGCACAGAAGCAAGAAAGAAAAAAGAAAGAAAGATAGAAAGAAAGAAAGAAAGATGGGCAAGGAAAAGTTGAAAAACACTTCGTTTTTCTAGTATTTTTGAGTTTTTCCCTCATACAGAAGAATCTGCCGTACATCCCTCATTTTTTTATCATTTTTTTTCATCAAAGGGAATGAGAATTTAGAATCACCAAAGCTGGGGCACCGGGAACCCCCAATAACCCCACCAACACCCTCATACCCGCCCCCAATACCCCC